TGAAAGCGAGAAGACAAAAGTTTGAATTTTGAATTCAAGATAGCTAATTGTAAGTCTTAGAAGTCCAGAAACTTTCTCGTGCTCTCTGTCAACAGTTCTGATTAGTGCTTATCAGCATAAGTTATTTCGATGCCCGTTGGAAGAGCATGATAGCAAATTTATCAGAGGAAAGTAAACAGTCCATTATTATTCCTTTCCGTCTCTACACCGTTCTCCCTTTCTCATCCGTAATTTTCAGGGCAGATGCTACCGTTTTTGGTCATTGTAATTTAGCTACTTCTAAGTAATACTTGAATCACTTTGCTGCTAGTCAAGCCATTCATATCTTCCGGAACACACTGTATTTCTGTTCATTGCGCTATTTTCCAGTTAATGGGAAAAAAGATCGGGAGCTGCAATCATTATATCTGTAATCGAGTATTTCATTTAATGTATATGGGAGCCCTCGATTATGTCTAGCAATTGACGATTCGCATTATTTCATATAACGAAAAACAGTGAAGAATGACCCTATTTAATGTTCTTATTTTGAAATGGTGATGAGAAGATAGGTCTTTTATGATGTTCACTGGAGAAAAATTGAAAAACGCTACCAGGAATATTAACAGTAAGGACGGATAATCGCCGTACGATCGATTAATGGATATGTGAAAAAAGGAGCTATGAATAGTTAGAAGGGTAGCCCTTTTGTACGTTATAGTTATGATGGATATTTTGGCATTAGGGGGCCTTTATTTAACTAGGTCATTCCAAATGCGACTGCCTATTTTAATGCAAGTTCGGGGCTTCTTATGCAAATGCAAAATAATATGAAGGTTGGGAAAAGGAAAATTCAAACTGAGAGAGATCTTGAGCTATGATTGATTAATCCAACTTATTTTTGCTTTTGCAACTTCCCTCTCGAATGTTCTTGAAATAATTACGTACCAGACGAAAATATTATCTTTGATGTCTAGAAATTTTATCTGCACAGGACGCGTGCCTCTACAGTAAACTGGTTCCCAAACATATATTTTCATTTGGCAAGGAAGCTCCGCGACCTGCACAAATCACCTTGACCATTGACCTCCCTAATCCTCTTACTAGGGCAAAGATCCGAAAGCTCATAACACCAATGGGACGGTGATAGCCTCTAACAGATTTTCCCGAACCTCTCTTCCCTTTCTTTCGCCGTAAAAAGCATAATACTTTCACCAGCTTCGCAGGAGTCCTTCGAAAACATTCAAACCCAAAATTTTAGTAGCTTCCCAAACTTAGCTGCACTCCACTTTGTATTCAGAACTAGTGGCAAGTTTGAATTAAATGACTACCAGTTTGATTCTTCTTCAGAACTTCGATGTTTGGCTGTGTATACGACCTTAATTTACTTGAACGGCAGGAGATGTACTGTTTGATGTTTATGCAAGAAAATGAAGTAAATTTGCTACTCATAATTTTTAGAAGACGAATTTACTAAAGCACAGTGAAATAATCACAATTAGCAATTATTAAACTTCAAACTCTCCAAACCCCATAATATTTTACAATCACAACCTACACCGATGAAAAAAGTTTTGATAGCACAAAGAAATTTTTGAAAACAAACAGAAATAATAATAATCTAAAACGATAGAACTATGTGCAGTGTTAAATATACTCTTTATAAGAGTAATTTACACATTTTGGCAACTTGACCACAAACATACAATTAATGAAAGGAATGAAAAACATGCGGATAGTGAAGTACCGGTAATTCCCCACGATCAGGCGATAATACTCAGGATTAGTCATTTAAGTTTTGCTTCCCAAAAATATGAAAAAGCAAAGAGTTACGTTGACGTCAAGTGTACTTGGCAGAACCTACTGCTCATTAATTGCCTGTAATTGATTACAACAATGAAACCTGTCAAAATATCCACAGAAGGTACTGTTCACAACTCCCGAAGGTTGTCGATCCCAGGAAAAACAGGCGGCCGCATGTCTGACAAAAATTCCTAATATAACATTATCACAGAAATATTGGAACCACAGTGCACAATGTGAAACATGAAGAAATGAATCCTTTCGTAATATTACCATTTTTCAAAGGTAATATCACTCAAGCTTTAAAGTTTTTGCTCCACCATTGGCGGCCTTATCGTTCATCTATGACCTTTCTGAATTACTAATCTATATGAACGATCTGCATTGACCGATCAAACGTATTGATTTCGGTGATGATGGAGATTTCTTAGTCTGCTGGCGCAACCGCTTACGTGAATCAACATTCATAAATGCTGCAAAAAAAAGGGTGGGAAAGTTGGTGAAATGCAAATCACGGCATTTTCATTTGGATCAAAACTATAATTCTAGATAGAAAGTAGTATTTACAAACACATAAATATTAGAGTTTTCCAGTAAAGTCTATATTAATTTGACTTGGACGAGAGATTTCTTGTTAGGGACGTTAGGAGCTTGGAAAAACAAGAGCTGAAAAAGTAAGGCATCTTAGCTCGAATCTAGAGAAGCTTTCTCAAAAAAATTTTCGGTTAGACAATATAAATAATTCTAACCGCAAATAATTATCTCAAAGGAGCGGAAAGATACCTCAATGGAGCCATCTGAGATCTGCATAAATATTATACTTAAATCTTCAACTACTCGTTATTAGCCATTTCGAAAAGTGATGGGAATTAAAAAATAATAAAATATAAAAATTAAATACCAACCAGTTAATTTTGTCTGCTTCTTAGCTATACGTCGTCGTTCTTTGCATTTCGATAGATTTGGTGTGGCTGGAAGGACCGGTATTTCTGGACCTGAGCAATCGAACGCTACAGAAGTTGAGATAGAATCCACATTACAGTTGTTATTTACATTGCTGCTACAAGGCATGCAATTCTCAGTTTCACATGGTGTGCATCGACTGGACAAATAATAGGAACTGCGATAGAACTGAGGAACCTATAATATAAATAAAAATGAAAATAGATGGAAGACAACAAAAATCTAATTCGTAAATGCGCAATCTCGAAACCTGTGAAGGCTTGTAAGCCTTGTAAATGGATGGCAGGTTAATTAAAGATTAAATTTAATTAAAGCCAATCTTGAAAGAAAATAAATACTACAATGCAACGAGTGACGTTGAAGCTTCTCGGAGACAAAATCGCATGATAACCTTAAAATGCATAACTTACCGATTCGGCCGGAACAGGAGTGAATTCCCATTTGCTAGTGACTGTTGATGCGCATGGATTTTCAGGACCGAACAAGAAACCCCATCTGCGTTCCTGTTCGCGCCGAATTTCGTTTAACTCTTCCGTTAGCCACTGATCAACTTTTTGCGGATCCGGACGTCCAAACAGACAACGTCGAGCGCTACGTTTCAGCAATTTCACAGGTTCCACTTCATGAGGGACAGCAGCAACTGTAGCAGCATTCACCGGTGTCGATAAAATGACTGAATCCTCCATAGGATTTACCAGATAATTCAGTATGGTAGGAAAAAATTAGGATTAAGATGAGCGATATACCTTTCTGTGCAATGCTTTTGTTCTTGTTCCGAAGATACAGAGCGGATTAATAACTGAAAATTCTACTTGATATCAATAAATTGCATAAATCACATAAAATCATCGCACGTAATGAATAAACAAAACAGACGAATTCTTTTGTAAGTCAAAATGCTTAAATAAATTTCCAGAAGTTTGATTTGAATTTAATTCCAAAATAGATGGTAATTTTATTTCATCGATCTACAGAACAGTCATTTTTGGGTATGCTTTAGAACAATTCTTTCAGTAATAATGGAACGGTAAAGAGTCAGAAAATATGAACAATCTTCCGTTCCATTTTCAAATTGTTTAACTTCTTGAGAACATTAGGAACCTGTATACAAACCTACTGCAATTCGAGTACCACTCGTTCACGCTACCCCCTTGGAAGCTGAAAATCTACTTGATAACGGAAGATATCCAAGTATGACAGATGTGAACAGCTTGGGAAAATTAACAGCAATAAGGAAACAGTGTCAAGCAGTAAATCAAGCATGACTGGAGAAGGGATATAGTACTGAGGCCATATGGCCTCAAATAATGAGGACGCAAAGAGACGACCGGACAGGGTTTGGGACAAGGAATGACAGCTAGTCGAGGAGAGAGAAGGGGGAGCTTGAAAAGCAGCCCATTCACTGACATAATCTCCAGACATCTGAAGCATAAATCATTGAACTGATATTCAATCAGAAAACTGGAGGGCACTTCAAGTTCACAATAGTGTAACTACATTTTGTCCAAAAGAGGAGGAAGATGTGAACGCCTCAAGATAATGATCCTTCCAACCTATGTTGAACTTTACGCGAAAAAAAGGTTATTATGAACAGTTGCGATGAGTTCACTTTGAACAGCAAAAAGCAATGCTCTAGTCGTTATGATGGTCAGCTGTTAAAGGAAGTGACCACATTAGTATCAGTGATAAAAAGTAAAGTGCAAAAAGAGAGAGTGGAAAGAGGGAGTGATCGTCCAGTTGTCCAACAATCTGAACATTTCAGGAAAAAGATTAATTTATAGGGTCGAGAGAGGAGGAGGAAGTTCCTCATAGTTCATATGGATGGACAACACTGTCCAATCATTGTAAAGAGGAAGAGGGATACAGAATGGGATAAAAAAGAGTGGAACACGGTCATCTCATTTGTGAAACCCGATAACAGTTCTCTCCTCATGAGGGAGGGTAAGAACAAAGTGAACAAGTACCGTTCATATACCGATATTTCACAGAAGTTTTCCGTATACGAAAGACTGCCGCGGTAACCACTAATTAAATTATATAGTATGAAAGTAATAAATAGATCATATAGTGGTTAAAAAAAGTGGTATAAAGCGTGCATTCTGAATTTTTGCACTATGTTAACAAAATTAATGAATCATCTAGCTAAGATTTTGCTTAAGTTTTACAGTTCAAAACTGAAACAGGGAGACGTGAAGAAATTAAGAATAACTGTTCATAGGTAAAATTCGACAACCGTTCAAAGATGAATGCACGGAAATTAATATGCAAAAAAACGTGAACTGATTTAGTATTCCTAAGAAGTCAGATGAAATTCAAAAATGTAATTAGTACAACAAACATTGACAATATCACATGATATAAATCGGTGTCGACGGTGAACAAGTGGGTAATTCAGTGAACAAATAAACAGATAGATGAAGTGGGAAGGTAAAACATAGATGAAAGTGGGCAAGGTAAAATAGTAGCCAGCATTGGTCATAGCTGAGGCAATGTTACTAACATTTGGTTGCGAATGCGTACGTCACTGAAATTAGAACATTAATAAGTGGCATTCCACAAATGTAGACATTCGAGCAGGTCTGCATTCGCAGAAATGAAATTGCGGTGGCTCAGTTCTACTGATTGATCAATCGATGGTGTTAACAGCAGTGATTGTGACAATGATAGTGATAATGATAGAGCGAATGAATGAATGAATGAGTGAATAAAAGTGAGTGAATGAGGCAGTGGAAAGTGATAGATACCAGCGATCGTCAACAGTGGTAGAAGAGTATTAGTAATAGAGGTGACGGCAATGTATATGTCATTACGCAGGTAGTGTGAGCAATGAAGAGCAATCAGATAGGGGTCATCGGGGTCAAGTGGACAGTTGACCAACACAACCACGCACTCCCCACCACGCCGACTGGCCGCTTTCCCGCACTCAGCAATGCACTCCTTTCCGATGGAACACAACGACGAACCACTCTCCGCCCCCAGAGCACCTCCTTTTCTCTTACTCTCCGTCCCCCTTCTTCACTCCTCCCCCTCCATCTCCTATCCTCTCTCCCACCAATGAACTGCTCATCTCTATCCAAATGTTTTCTTCTCTTTCCGCGTTTCTTTCTCTTTATCTCTTTCTGTCACAACGCCTGTTATTTTCAATCTTATTCATAGAAAGCGCTCACGTAAAAATTTAGTCGTCTGCACCCTCCTTATTTCAACTCTATTTCCATTTCCACACAAAAAGGGGAGAAGTTGGCACATAACCAAAGCAACGTAAAGCGCAGATGTGAGGTTACTGCCCTTATCAGCAGCAAGCATATTGCGTACGATTTACTTGCAGCTTGCAGATTAGTGTCAATAGTGGAGGGTGGTTAATACTCGTTATTATGGCAGTGTTAACAAGTATAAAATTCAAAGGGAATGGCAGATCTTATCGATATCGATGATGGTAATGGGGGGATCTGTATGATGACAGGAAATTTATCAGTGTGCTGGTGCCGCTGATAAAACAACTAGTGACTGCTATTGATATGGCATTCTTAACAGCTAATATATGGCTACTTTCCAGAATTTTCAGATCAGCGGCGCAACGGACCCTGCATCCTCTATGACGCAAGTTGGGCAGTGTGGAGTGAAAGGTTAATCAAGACTAATCAAAACTGAGCAGTAGCTTTATAAAGCACCTGCGGTTCTTTATCTGAGTGTTGGCAGATTCCTTCGACACAGGGAATTCCCAGAGGAAGCACGGATGGATGGTTGCCAAAAGGCGGAACGGAGTGATATGAATCTGCCAAAAGAGGAAGGGAGGAAAGAGGAGTGGCACAGAAGCATGATGATATGATAGGGAACTTCGGGGTATGGAAAGCTGGAGCAGAAAGAGAGAGTAAGAAGGATTGATCTTACTAGCATGAAGCTAGCTGTTGTTGTCCCCTGGGTTATCGCGAGTTGGCAGGATGATGGATGGAACTACACCACCGGTATATTGCAGTTAAAGTGCTTGTCACTCACCATAGAATGCTGGTACCTTTTTGTCCTCTTCCTCTCTTCTACGAGTATCCTGAACTGATTGCAAACAATAACAATGTCACTGTTGTCAACTCTTAGAAAACACACAATTTTTTTTCTTCTGAAGAAAAAGGAAATAATTTTTTGATGTAGGCAGGCGCGCGCGCAAAAAGTACAGTTGGTGAGGACAGTCGAACAGATAAATAGACAAACGGACGGACTTGTTTGCTATGTGAAAAGGAAAGATGTTTGTTAGATGGTGGCAGCTTTTGCGCTCTTTTTTCCCTTCCATATATACTTTGTTTGGGTAAAAGTTACTGTCCAACAAGGTTGTTTATAAGAGGAGGAGCATTATTTGCATGCATAAAAAGGCATCTGTTGTTTGAGGTGTGCTCTAGGTGCGGGTATGGGTGTGGGTATGGGTATGGTATGGGTAAGGGTAAGAGTGAGGGTGAATAAAGAATGGGGAGGTTAGTTGTTTGCAGCTATTTGGCGATCTGTCTATCTATCCGTGGGCTCGCTCCATCAGGGAACTTGTTCCCTCATCAGTTTTGGCGCCACATCAGCCTCTTGAACATTTCAAAGGAAAAGAAATTCATTGTTCGGTCACTTGGTAAATGCATTAAGATCCAGGGAACCACTACTTGGTGGAGCAGGATTGAGGAATATCATTCCGGAGTGGAGAAACAGGGTATTGGAAACTGCTAGCAGAGTACCTAGTATATATGTCCATGAAAACTCCCTGAATTATTTACTACAATGCCTAACAAAACTTGTCAAGTTCAGCCTGAACATTAAGATGACTGCAGAAGTCACGTGTTTCGATTCTTTTGAAATCAAAAGATACCTAATATCGCTTTCAATACAGTTTTTCTTTTTTGAATAATATGAATATATAAATGAGAATTAAATATAAAGGAAACAATTGGCTTGTTGAAGAATCTAATAAGAGTTAATGGGAAAAGATTAATTCAAGTTTCTAATTTCTTATAACACCAAAGAGTATATGTTATATAAGGTGATATCTGAATACGAATGTGTCGAATTGTACACATGCCGAAGTGAGCCGTATTGCGAACAATCCTTCCTTCTTTTCTCTCATTCATTTCATTTAACACATTTAACAGTCGGCATGTATTGTTTTACTT